CTCCCCGTGTTTTTACCACTAGTAAAACAACCGATACTCCGGAATTTACGACGAAAACGTGAGTTTTGTGACGAAATTTGGATCCTATCCACGCCCACACACCCGCGCCCACGCGAAAAAAACAATCGCGGAAATTCCCGTCGCAACTCGCAAGTAATAGATCTCGTGACAGAATAAACATTATCGATGCAACTATTGTGATGGAAAATATAAATCGTCGCAAACAGTGACTTTCTCCGAACAAAAATAATCCTTTTTTTGTTTGTCAATAAATTAAATACATTTGCGGCTATATTTTATGATGTCCATTTCACAATTTCGCGACGATTATCGCTATAGTAAACGCATCAAGTTACTAGACATCATGTCAATAATCGTCAAAAAGCGTTTTGATGCGTAATATAGCACGCAAACATGACTTTTCAAAATTCTCGATCGACCTTCCAACTTTATTTGTATTTGAGCTTTGAATCATAAATCCTTTACTCTTTCTCAATATATCTTTGTCAAATAATTATTTTCCTTCAAAACCAAAGTTATTTAATAATTTTCTTAATCAGTGTGCAACAATCTTAAACAGTTAAATATATATATATATCTATTTATATACACTCTAAGATATTAAGACCAAAACACCCTCTTGTGTTTTAGGTAATAATCATTGTGTAATAGAGAGAGTGCAAGTAAAATCCAATATAGTAACACAATTCCCATACAATCTTATCTATTTGTCATAATCTTAATTACTTTACACACACATAATATTATATCTATATATACATCATACTATATATAATACATGTGTGTGATATGGGATAATGACTTATTTTTATTTAAGTTTTATTTTTTTACTTTGAAAGGCAAATTAATTAAATTAAAGGCTCCTTTTTCTTTTTTACAGTTTTCAAGAAACATGTTGTTCTGTTGTTCATTCTGTCTTCACCACATGGAGTATAGTGAAATATGCCCTATCTATGGTGGCCAATGTTTCTATATTTTCTTCTATCTATTTGATTTACTTAATATAAACTTTACTTTTACCAAATATGCTTAGCTGTTAGAGTTATTTTTATTCAATCAAGGCAGCAATTTACACTTGTTTAACTATATATATATATATATATATATATATATATATATATATATATATATATACATATGCTGTTGTTTCTTATCTAAATGTTAGTGTTCAAAATGTGACACCTTGGAGGGCGATGGTTATGGTAATAATACTAATTAAAATACATTTGTCATCACACACTAACTAGTACAAGAGTGTGAGTATGTGTAAGAGACAGAAGGGTATTTTTGGTATTTCACTATTTGCTCAATGGTACTTTCGTCAGTATTTCATGATTTTTTTAATTCAAAATAAATTACTAAATTCATGAATGACTTATGTGCCTAAATATTTGAGAAACAAATTTGTTCGATGTCATTTTACAATTTAAATCAGTAATTGTATTTTTTTCAATTTTGCTCTTTATCAATATTAGTTAGTTGAACAATGTTATTCAATCGTAAAATATCATGTGTTGTTTTCCTCCATATATCGTATTGCAAGATATTTGACTAACTATTAATAATATTACAAAATATATATATATATATATATCTATACAATAATAATATAATAAACATGTAAAAATTAATACTTCAAAGTCTAGCCATGTATTCAAAATAGATCTAAATTAAAGTTTCAACGTTAATATAAATAGGATAAAAGCCATAATTTTTAGAAATATTAGAGGGTTTTATTACCTTCCCTGGCATAAATTGCTTTGATTATGTGATGTTGAACAAATTTGTTGATTTTGATCGGGAGAAAAATATAATTTATCTTAAGCATTTTTTTGGCTTAGCCTTGAAGAAACACACACAATTGTTATTAGAGAAATGTACAGCGGAATCGCACAAATCGCGTCAAGTATGCTGAAAAACTCACAAATTATCCCAAATTGTGTCGAAATCGCACAAATCACCCCAAAATAGATATCGTACCGTATCAAGATATCGAGCAATATTTACTGATACTTGTGTAGAATCGATGCATACACCGAGTTGTATTGTTTCCATATAAATCGTATAGTAACGCGATAAGTATCACACAATATCGTAATACTGACCACTGGTTGAAAAAAAAGTATTAGATTTGGATCAATGTATGATAAGAGTATTTTAGTCACTTTCTATATTTGTTGCTACAATTCAAATAATATTTAAATATTTTGACAAATATGGAGTATTCATTTAACTATTTGAATCATTCTAGTAATTATTTGACATGCACTTAATTGACTTACCTAGTATTCACCATGAGCACATTAATTGACTATGGTACTAGGAAAATGTAATATCATTATAATATTAATTCATTTAGTATATATTTTAAGAAAAAATGATTTAATATTCGATGGTGAAATAACATCAAAATGAGCATAGATATTGCACTTATACATTAGATGTTTTTCTTCTTTGTGTTTGTTGTTATGCATCAAGTAGGTCTAAGCATTATGTACATAGTACATATAATAATATTTTATTTTTTTTGTCAATATTCATAATTTTTTTAGGCAATTGGCAATGTACACCTCACAAAATGTACCACTCTCTCTCTCCAAAAATTGCACAAGTGCCCCAAAATTATCATTATTTGCTAGTTGGTACCTCGTCTCCTCTATACCATATTTATTTGTCAAATCTAACAAGGTTTTATTTAAATCAAAGAATTTGAACATAGAGATTTACAAAACTATAGTAAAAATTTCGGTGTTTAGATTTGGATGAGTTTATTTAATCAACTTTAAATTCGTAACACATATTTTAAATTTTTTTGTTGTCATTGAGGCGAATATAAACGTTGTTTATATGAAATTATTTGAAATCATTACTTTTAAATTCGAAAAGTTATTGATTTTATTAATTCCAAAATTGTATAGCTTTAACTGATGTGTCATCAAATACGAATTCAATGGTAACAATTTTAGGCATTATCCGCTTCTCTGAAATCAAAATCCTTTTAAAGAGGAAAAATAATAAAGGGATGAACATGATTTGAAACCAAAACTATGGTTCCCAATGCCACATAAAATTTGGTTGTAAAATTTGCTACTCTCTAGGTGTAAAATTGTAATATCTAAAAGTTTGTGGTGCAAAATGCAAAATGTCAAAAGTTAAACCTCTCTCTCCCCTCCCCCCACCAAAAAAAATGAGAAGCTCAGATTGATATAAATGGAAATGAGGTACGCTAATACCAATAAATAAGATTAAAATGTAACGTTTAGGGGCATCTTAGGAATTTAACAAATGTATAGTTCTCTTGTCTATTATTTGGGGCAAATTATGGTCACTCCTTAAGATAAGGTTAAATTAGAAAAAAAAAAAAAATAATAATAATAATAAAAAAAGTCATGTTTAAGTAATTACAATCACCCCTCAATTATAAATTTTCTTACACGTTCACTGGTTTGGTGTTAAATTCAACATAATCTTCTAGATTCCATAAAATGTTCTCTACATTGTACTTGTTTTGTGCAAAAATGCAGTTTCTGATGCACCACAATCTGATATTTACAAGTCAAGATACGCATTTTACGATCACCTTGTTTCAAAATGTGGAGTTCGAATGGAATAAAACGAGTACAAACTGGAGAATATTCGACATAATCTATAAAATTCCACTAAAATTGACACCGCAAGAGTGTAAGTGTAAGAAGATTCATATTTGACGTGGTTATAATTACCCAAACATGAGAAATTTTTTTCGTAATTTAACCTTACCTCATGGGTTAAGCCGTAATTTACACTATTATTTATTTAATAAATAGTTGTTTGTTTTTCTAATGAAATATTTAATAGTTGTTTCAGAATGTGGGAAAAAAGAGAGAAGAAAATTGACTGGTCAGCACACAGTTACACTAAACAGTCAAAACAAAGAGATATGTGGGCCCCATAACCTGGGCCCAGTCAGCCCAATATCCTAAAAAAGAGCATGCCGTGTAATCATTACTTACAACACTAAACGCCGTCGTATTGGTTCTTCTTCATATATTTACTTTCTTTCTTAATTAATTGCCAAATCCCAACAATTTTTTTTCTTCTTCTTTTTTAGTCATAATTTTTTCTTGTTCAATGTAAAAAAATAAAAAATAAATGAAAGAATGGAGAAAGTAATTTTTTTTTCAAGTTTACATTTTTTTACTATATATATAATGCCAAAGGGAAGGTACATAAGTCATAACCATTGCCAGAAAATAAATTTAAATTAATATATATATTAAAAAAAATTATTTAATTTTTTTCTTTTGTTCAAAACTCCTCTCTCCACCACAAGAAAATATCCCTTCAAAATTCTTGCATTTCTTTCCATCCTCAAAGCAATGCAATTGCATCTCTCTCTCTCTCTCTCTCTCTCTCTCTCTCTCTCTCTCTCTCTCTCTCTCTCTCATCAAAATAAAATCTCATAATTATGTACTAATTAAAGACTAATTAAACACTAATTAGCCTAATCCAATTTCCTCCTTTTAGGGTGTGGTGAAGAAGAAGAAGAAGCAATTGTTGTAGTTTCATCACTTTTAAAGCTCAAACAAACAGCTGCTTCCAAAACCCCATTAGGGCTATTTGGCACTAATGATGATCCACTAATCACACTTATTGGTATCAAATCTTTAATTAGTTCCACACACTTCACCACTCTCCCCTGCAATTCCAATCAAATAAAATTAAATAATTAAAAATAATAATAAAACAAAATTAAAAAAAAAATCAGACAAATGTACCCAAGATGCTGAGAATATAAAGTTGGTAATAATGATACAATAGCAAAGGAAATAACTTTGTCTTGTCCAAGATTTTTCATTTAGTGGGGACCAATCCAAATTGAAATATTTAAATAAATAAAATAAATAATAAATAAATATACCTTGTCTAGTATGAAATTTGACAGTGCCTTATCAATGTCAATTGCTTCTTGAATTTCTCCTGAAACATAAACAGCCACAGCTGCACCTATTTCAGATGGCTTGAATTCCAAGAAGTCAATACCTGCATTCATTTCCCCAATCGAATAATCGAAAAAATCGAAAAAATATTTATTTTTTTATTTTTTTAATAAAATAAATAATGTGATAAAAATGAGACCTTTAATCGTGGTGAAGATGATCTGAATCGATCTAGTAATCAACGGCCCCGGCGAAAATCGAGCGCCGTTCATCTTCGTAACGAAATGCTCGATGAAATTAAACGGAGTGTAGGCTTTCATATTCCACTTCAAGTGATTCAGCACGAGAACTTCCATTCTTTCTATCGTTTTTCCTTCGAACAAGAATCTCGGTTCCCCTGCCTGCTTCGTTGTTAACACCACATTGTCGACAAATAAATAAAATAAAATAAATTCAATTTATGTGACAAAATAGCAAAAAAAATATTATTATTACCTGTAAATCGACGGGGGAAGGTACGTCGACCTCGTCGAATTTGGCAGCCAACGATAAGCAAGCAACTGCTACTAATTGAATAGCCCATGATTTACCAGCCTAGTTATTAATTCCAAGAAAATTGAAATTTTTTAAAAATCGAAAAATTTGCATTGAAAAATTAAATTAAAAAATTTATTTCAATACTTACAGGTAGATTATACACAGATATAAATCTGTCCAAGTAATTCATAGCTAAATACAAACACATGTCTCCAAAATTGTGATGAGCACAAGCCTGTAATAATAAAAACCACCAAACAAGACTTAGACAACTCATGAATGAATCAAAACATTAGAAAAAACAAAAGAATAAAAAATAAAAAATAAAATTAGTTATTTAATGCTGCATTGGGAAATCAAGAATTGAACAGAATGCAGTAGGATCTTTATATTATTATATACATTTAAAACAGTCAAATCTATGCTCCACCCGGCGAAGGCATACCCCTGTTCATCTACACACACCAACATGGGTGCGTGTGTTTTGTGTGTAAATGAATCATGAACAATATATATTATATTATATACATTTAAAAACGGTTAAATCTATGCTACACTCGTTGAAGCGTACACCCCAGTTCATCTATACACACACCAACATGGGTGCGTGTGTTTTGTGTGTATATAATTATACATTTAAAAAACGGTCAAATCTATGTTACACCCGGTGAAGGTATACACCCCTGTTTATCAACACACACACCAACACGGGTGTGTGTGTTTTTTGTGTAAATGAAGAATCCAATTTAGAAAATTTCACAAGCAAATCAAGAAAATAAAAAATAAAAAAGATTCAATTTTTAGGGCTTTAATCTAATTAAAAAAAATTGGGAATTAAATTTATCACCTTAATCATCCAATCAAGAGCGTCTCTTCTCAAACCCAAATCCAACTCACCACTCCTCAATCTAGAGAGATAATCGCCTCTGGGCAAGTGATCATTTTCTCTCTCTAGCATCCTATCAATGGCGGCGGTATCGTCGCCCAGAGAGAGAATCGACGGCGGCTCGGAGAGAGAATCCGATCCGCCATTGATGAAGCTCGTGCCGCTTCCGACAAGATCGCCATCGTCATCGTCGAAGCACGACTCTCTGGTTTCTTCGTTGCAGAGAAGAAGGTTGTCTGCAAATTCACTGTTTTTTTCCGACATTTGAAATGTGGATTTTTTTTTTTGGGTGTTGAATGGGAGTGTTATCAAAATCTTGTAAAAGAATGGAGATTGGATTTTATTTGCAGTTTTTAAAGATTGGCATTATGTTTCCGCCATATCTAGAGAGAGAGAGAGAGAGAGAGAGAGAGTAGAGAAGAGAGAGTGTATTTGTAGAGAGAGAGAGAGAGGGAGAGAGAGATTGAATGTTGTTGAATAGAGTCTGGTGTGGAGAAGGAAGCTTTATGTAGAAATGAACACTTGTCTTTAGGGTAAAGGTGGGGTTGAAGAAGAGAAGACTGAAATTCATTTTCCTTTTTTTTTTTTTTTTCTTTTTTCTCTTTTGGTTTTTTGAAATAAAAATATAAATATTTTCTTGGATAAATTACGGTCACCCCTGAGGTAAGGTTAAATTACGAAAATACCCCTCGTATTTAGGTTATTACAAACACCGCTCTCAACTATGAATCTTCTGACATGTCGTCCACTGTTATGGTGTCAAATTTAGTGAAATCTTCTAGATTATGTGAAATATTCAGTTTGTACCCATTTTATCCAATTGAACTCCACATTTTGAAACATGATGATTATAAGATGTGTCTATTGGCTTGTGAATATCAGATTGTGGTGCATCAGAAATTGCGTTTTTGCACAAAACAAGTACAAACTAGAGAATATTCCACGGAATCTAGAAGATTCTGTTAAATTTGGAAACAAAAGAATGAACATGTAAGAAAATTTATAGTTGAAAGGGTGATTGTAAATTACACAAACTTGAGGGGGGTTTTCGTAATTTAACATTAACTCAGGTGGTCGTAATATATCTCTATGTGTAAAAGTGAAAAGTTTTTTAGGAATTTATATGTGGGACAAGTACACATACAAAAAGATTAAATAGAAATAAGGTTTTGATTGAAAACCAGGAAATTATAAGCTGGATCGTGTAAAATGACCAAATTGCCCTTGATTTGTGGGTAGCAAATGAGTTTAATCATCTTTAGTCAATGGTGATTAGAAGGAAAAAAATTGACTATTTGGGAAGTGAGTGAGTGACAGTTATTATTCATATGGAAATAGATTAGATTGTGTACTGAAATTTAATTTTATTTACTTATAGATCAAAATGTATATTTCAAAATTAATTTCTATTTTAGCTTTTTTTATCCCATTATTTTTTTTTTGTTATTTACAATAGCCAACCACTTATATATTTATCATTAAAAAATATTTGCCATTTTGCATTAATCATTTTCCTAAAATAACATTTGAATAGCCATTTAGTAATAAACATGTTTCTTTATTTAAAAATATATTTTCTTTTCTTTTTTCGCTTTTTTCTATGTATTCGAGATGGGCGTGTTTGAAAAAAATTATGTAAAATTGAGCTCGTTATACATGACTCGTCCACTGCGGTTTCACTTTTCATGCGATTTGTAATTCATAATATGTGCATATATATTATGACATATTTTAAAGTCAAATGAACTTCAAATTAAATTTACATTAATAATATTAATATTTTTTATTTCATCTTCAATACTTCAATTTTTTCAATAGATCTACTATATAATTAAGGATATCATTCAATAAATCAATATCATTATTTAAAAAAAATCTAACTAAAGTATCGAGTAGATTATTTTAAGTTAATATATGAAAGCCAAAAGGGGGATTTGAAAATCAGATCTCCATAAGATACATTCTTAAATTTGAAAATCGTGAACAATTTGTTTTTCTCCCTCAAACATTTTAATAATCATTAATTTTTTTCTTTAATTTATCATATACTAGCATTTTTTTTCCGTGCGATGCACGGGATATTATTTCAAAAGTAAAAAAAAAAACACAATTTAATACATAATAAGAAAATATAGTACACGGACATAGTAAAATTTAATATTATAGTATTATTCATATTTTATATAACATTAGTTTTTTTAATCTTACATATTAAGATTTATAATCCAAATATATAGATGTAGATTTTACAAATCGAATTTCTATCTTTATCTCTTAAGATTTCAGATATATTAATAAGATATAGGAGATTGATAATTGTTGAAATTAGTAGAGAAAAAATACTAAAAATAAATACTTAAAAGAAAACCATTAGGGTTTTTTTAGAGTTGCCCAACGTTTCTTTCTTTTATATATAACGTTTCTTTCTTTTATACTAACATTTTTTCCCGTGCGATGCACGGGATATTATTTAAATAATGAAAAAATAATAATCAATTTAATATATAATAAGAAAATATAGTACACTAATATAGTAAAATTTAATAATATAGTATTATTCATATTTTAAATAACATTATTTTTTTGAAATCTTACATATTAAGATTTATAATCCAAATAAATAGACTAACATTTAACTAATCGAATTTCTAACTTTATCTCTTAAGATTAGAGATATATTGATAAAAATTAGGAGATTAATAATTGTTGAAAATTATAGTTAAAAAATTAGTACAAAAAAATATTAAAAATAAATAATTACATAAGTAGCAATAAGGTATGATTCTTCACTGGTTATTTTTAATTTTGATAATTGTTAAAAATTATAGTTAGCAATTAGTAGAGAACAAATATTAAAAATAAATAATTACAGAAATACCATTAGGATTTTTTATGGTTGCCCAACGTTTTCTTTTATATATAAGATATAAGATATATTGGACATAAGGGCAAAAATACCTCAAAAGAATTAGTTATTGTTATGTATAGCGATATGTCTTAAAAATCTAGGCTCAAAATTCAAATGCATTAATGTTAGCGAAGAGTAAGCGAACGATAAAAAAAATGACCTAGTAAAGACCCATTAGTTTGGCTAGTTCGATTAGTGTTGTTTGGCGAGTGCGGGTGTGGGGGCGGTAGCCCCTCGGTACTGTACGATATATAAA